TTAATGATAGAATTAGTCACCACACGTGTGAATCTATGAAAATTGAAATTAAATTTCAATTGTGATAAGAAGAACGAATAGATAGATTCCGAAAAAAAAATAGAGAAAGTATTAATCGAATAAAGAGAATAAAGAGAATTGATAAAATTGAATGATGATAGAATTCAAATTTAAAGTATAACGAAACATATGGTCCGAAATGAACGGAAAAAAAAACATGTAAGCAAAGTTCTGTTTACTGTAAAAGTAGCATGACATTTGAACAAGGTTTCCAGGTTAACATTGAATATAATCATAAGAAAAAGAAGCGTTACTGATTCGCTTCGTGACCTCTCTTAATTGACTCACGTCGTATTACTATCCATTTTTATTAAACGACGAAATATTTCGCAGAATGCGACAATCGTGCACGTATTAATTGTCACGTACTGTTTGACAGGTCGGGTTGACAGATTTCGTCGGATGTCGCGAAATCGGCGGGAATGACCGTGAAATAGACAACCGGCATGCCGGATGGATTTATAAAATTTTATTGTTACTCACCAGATGAAGCACGGTGTTGACAACTTCCCGATTCGACACCTGTCCCACTTCGATCAGCCCGATCAGCACGGCGAATTTCAGGCTGTCGTTCATCGCCATCGCCACCACCTCCTCGGGCCGTTTAATGTCACTGAACGGTGGACTTTTCATGTCCGCCATTGCGACGGTTATTTAAGCTGACAACACGTTTTCCTCGCGAGGAAAATCTACGATAGTTTACACAGAAACCGTCTTATAAACGAGAGCTTTTCCTCGTCACATGATAATACAACACAAATTGATCTGCCATGTTAGAAAGTAGACACTGTTATGAGGAGTTTGCCAGTACGGCAACGCGAAACACCCTAGCGACGCGGTCGCAGTACCAACACTAACTGAGCTTGTAAATTCCTACCTGAGCGGCGTGCGCTACTATGGTGGGGAGATGGCGGGATTTATAAACTACTTAATACAAATTTGAAATTGTATGAATAAATATTAAGAAAAATTTATTTATTAAAAGATACTGATAATATCACACGGAAACAGAATGTAAATTTCAACGCTAAATAATTATAAATTATTTATGTCAAATTAACTGTCAATTATATATATTAATTTATTCTACATTATTTAATTTATTGGTTAAATGTCTATTAGTAAAATTGTTGGTTAGTTGAGAATAATCAAGTAATATTGATTAAATACGTATCAAAAATTTGGAAAGTATTTGTGTTATATATTTATAAAATCATTTTTATACATAAAAAAATAATTGCAAAATAATAGTTGATATATTTCTTTGATTGATTTCTTATCTGTTATGAATAAGCACTGTAAATTATGATGAATAATAATGTATATATGTACGTTATTACAGGGAAGTATAGATTGAGTAACGCACGCGTCATTAGTAGTAAAAATGGCGTCGGCAGACGTTGAGCGTGCCAAGGTAGGTGTCATTTTTTTTAAATTTTACACCGGTATTATATCTTATTTAGCTATTATCTCTACTGAAAGGAATTATATTTAACTGATTTTTTTTATATATAAACATAAAGTTACTCTTTGGGTGACATATATCTAATGTTTATAGTTTATAGGGCGTTGGTTCTCTGTCATAACAACAGTATTCTTAATGAAGTATTCCGTATATGGATTGTACTGCTAATTTCCGGTCAACTTATTATCGTTATAATACTTTTCATCATGTATTTTCAGATGGAATCTACCATACGTAATTTAAAATTATCTGGTCATGTTGGTTTTGACAGTCTTCCAGATCAATTGGTGAATAAATCAGTTCAGAATGGATTTGTCTTTAATATTCTCTGTATTGGTAAGTATTATAATTTAATATGAATAATGAAAATTTTTATAATTAATGTTTATAATTGTTCTTTTATAATAGGTGAAACTGGTCTTGGAAAGTCTACCCTTATGGATTCTCTCTTTAATACAAGTTTTGAATCTACTCCAAGTTCACATAATCTTCCTGCTGTAAAACTCAAAGCCCATACATATGAATTGCAAGAGAGCAATGTTAGATTGAAACTTACTATTGTTGATACAGTTGGATATGGAGATCAAATTAACAAAGAAGATAGTTTTAAAGCTGTTGTTGATTATATAGATGCTCAATTTGAAGCATATTTACAAGAAGAATTAAAGATAAAACGATCTTTGGCAACTTATCACGATAGTCGTATTCATGTTTGCTTATATTTCATTTGTCCAACTGGACATGGGTGAGACATATAAAATGATATAAAATATTTCTTGTATAAAATTTATTATTTTTTTTAATGCTTAAATACATAATTTTTATTAATATAATTGTAGTTTAAAATCAATTGATCTAGTCTGTATGAAGAAACTTGACACAAAAGTTAATATTATACCAATTATTGCTAAAGCTGATACAATATCAAAAACAGAATTACAAAAGTTTAAGGTATATACCTTAATGATAGCAATATATAAATATATTTATACATTACAAATTTTATATTCTATTATTTGTTTCAGACAAAAATTATATCTGAATTACAAAATAATGGTGTTCATATTTATCAATTTCCTACTGACGACGAAAGCGTCGCAGAAGTAAATACTAGTATGAATGCTCATGTACCTTTTGCAGTAGTTGGTAGCACAGATTTTGTTCGGGTCGGAAATAAAATGATGCGTTCTCGTCAATATCCATGGGGCACAGTACAAGGTAAAATTAAAAATTGTTTACTATTATTAGAATATATGATTTATCTATTCGTAAAATTCATTTTTTTTTTTTATAGTGGAAAATGAATCCCATTGTGATTTCGTTAAGTTGCGCGAAATGTTGATAAGGACAAACATGGAAGATATGAGAGAAAAAACGCATTGTCGACATTACGAATTATATCGTAGAAAGCGATTAGAACAGGTTTCATTGCATTACATTAAATATTTCTATAAGCGATTTAATTATAATTATAATTATATTTATAATTATAATTTATAGATGGGTTTTAGTGATGTTGATAGTGAAAATAAACCAGTTAGTTTTCAACAAACCTGTGAAGCAAAAAGATCCATCCATTTGCAAGAACTTCAACAAAAAGAAGATGAAATGCGGCAGATGTTCGTGGCCCGAGTAAAAGAAAAAGAAGCTGAATTAAAAGAAGCGGAAAAAGAGGTAAAACTATTTAATTTTTTTTTTTTTTTTTTTAATATATGTATTCTATAATATAATCGTATTTATATATTCTTAGCTTCATAATAAATTCGATAAACTGAAAAAAGATCATACAGAGGAAAAGAAAAAGCTGGAAGAAAGTAGAAAGAAACTCGAGGATGATATTTTAGAATTCAATAGGCGAAAAACTCAATTCGCTCAACAACCTCAGCATCACACATTAACACTAGGTAAAAGCAAAAAAAAATAAAAACTGACACTACTATAAATAAATGCGACATTTTGTATCTCTATATATATATGACTATTATTATTTTAATCACGTAACAATCAATTACTAAAATTGAAATTAAATTATTCAACATGCCCAAACATTATAATTTTTATTGTATTTTTACGCATTTCTTTACTTATAGATTAGATATCAGACTGATTATTATGACAAAAGTGATTTTTACCAAATTTAATTTTTTGTATTAACATGTGCACTTTAAAAAAAAAAAATAAAGATATATTTGTTACTTACAAATACATTCATTTTAATTAATTATAGTATAAATATCTAAAAGATTCATAATTAAATATTTTATTGTTCAACAAAATATAACAATTAACATAATAGTATCATACTTAAATAAAACTAATATTATTAGCGGCATATGTATGTACGTTATATGAAATATACGAACTGGTTATGAGATATACTTTCACAAAAGCATGTTTTGATTACTAACATTAAATAAAAAAGTGGAATATATGATATAATCATATCACATTATGAATCATGAGAAAATAAACAAAATATGATTTTGGATAGTGGATAGTGTCAAAGATACCTATCGTGCAATGAAATATTTATAATTTCATTCATAATTAAACTTCATTTCACTTTTCAACAAAAAAAATTTGCGAAACTTATAGCATTATATAAATGAATTTACACGATAGCAACTAATATAAACAAAACGCGTGATATTATATCCACAAATATAAAATTTCGTTTGACGAAAAATATTTTAAAATATTCTGCGTCGAATTAAACAGGTACATACAACTTAACCGTAGTATATATATACTTATCAAATAACGCATTTACGATAATAATAATATAGTATGGCGGAATAGTTTTATTCGCGCGTAGTAATAATGACACTATGAAATAAATTTGCTTTTATCATTACATTTGCAATCGATTCTGTTATAATTTACAAATAAATACACTTTGCAAATAAAATATGTAAAGAACGAAACAGATATGTAGAGAACGATTACAGACTACGCGTCGAATAATAATTTAAAAAAAAATAACACTATGGTACAAAATCAATTTAAACGAGAGAAAGGAAAAGGTCTAACAAAACAAAAAGCTCTGAACGACAACGTTAATAGCCTCAACGTGCCGACATTGCTCGTCGTATATTTCTTTGCTTTGGTATTCCTTTGCACACTGTGTCCTTGCATTTCTGTGAACCGAATAAATACACGTCGCCTTGTAATTTCGATACAATACGTCCTTTGTTACTCCTTATCCTACGTATTTATTATAAAAGTACAAAACATATATTATGGCAGTTATCGTAAAGCATTTTGCATGTTAGCCGATTTAATATGTATCGATTATGTGCCAAAGTGTAAGAATTATCATCAGGGTCGGTATATAATTATAAGAATAATGTAAAAAGTTAGATTTTTATTTTAATAATGAAAAAAGTTCAAAGATATTCTTTGAACATGAAGCATAATGATATTTCGAGTCAATTTCTTGACACGATTATTTCATAATAATCTAACGATAAATAATATATAATATAAATACTTAAATATTTTAAGCGTGCGATTAATCGATTTAACCGACCCTGTTTTTTTATTTATTATAATCTATGTGCCTTACATTGTTTATTGCGAAAAATATTTAAGTGCACTACGAGATTCACCCATATGGGCCGCAGCAATGACCAAGTACAAATAAGTAATTATTATCGTGTATTCATTTTATCTTTTTTCTCGTTTGTCCATAAAATAGGCAGAAATCCCGCAATCTCTTAAACGATTATCTATCCCTTAAAGTTTGCATTTTTACAAAAGACGGAGTCGTTCGATCAAAAAGCACAATTTTCTGTAATTCTATTTAGCCTGATAAACATCGATTTAAAATTACCTGAGTCCTTAATTGCACTTTCTTCTAATTATACGCATAGATCGACTACGAAACTGAGGCAAGTTGTTCGAGTCGCAATGGACAGACTGTTCATCATTACATTCGATATAAACGATATTCCGATAAACTATTATTGCCCGTGGTCGTTTCGACGTATATGTATACCATTACAAACTTTGGTCATTGCGGTATTACGACTACCTCTACCAGGTGCATTGCCCTCCCATCTATTTCTGTTAGATAATTTCCAAATCAAGCGTTAATATGCCTATCATCCGTGGAATGCATGACACTTAAACGTTTACGAATTGAAAGGCAAGTCTTTGTATTCCTAAATGAACAACTTACACGAATATATAAGGAAGAATATATAAATAAACGCAAGTCGTATTTTTATACGTACATGTATAGTACATAGCTTGTAATATAAACACAAAATATAACCTTATATGAGTGTATAAAAAAAACGAGTGAACGTAAATAAATCTATACAATATACAATATTCGTCAAGATTTATACATATATGAAAATGAAGGAATATCAAGGAATATCGTTTCCTCGATATTAAAGAAAGATGACATATTAACACGCTTGTTAGAACATACGTGAAATGTTAGTGCTTCCCAGGCGTATTAAATGTAAGAAAAAATAGTGCCATCCTCTGTATAATTTATACATATGTGACAGATAATGGTGTTACACAAATCTAGTGTATGCATATAAATCATGAGAGTAGCACAAAGATACATTGGGCTGATAGTTTTTCATATGATATCCGAAAAAACCCTCGATATCGATCAACACACTATGCGACAGTGGTTGGAAAGAAGGAAGATATATCGTTTTTCAAAAATGCTACTGACCTTTCTTTATTCCATAAAGAATTCAAGCATGCACATATGTTTTCGCGGTTCAATCTATCAGCTTGGTATCCTTGCAACCTCTTATGTTTCAGAAACAGAAACGCGGAACGAGAGTTGACCCTGTCGAACGTGTTGTTTCTCTACTTGTACGAAACGAACCAACAGCAATATGAACGTGATAGTAGCGTGGATTTGTAACAGGCACTGTGCTTTTAGGCTAGCGGGCCGAGACGGATTCCGGCGGAGGACTGCGATACTTGGCGCGAATGGGAAGAAAGTTGGTGTGCTTGTTGCCGTGAGGAGAAGGCGGCGTGCTCGCGTTGAGAGTCCTCACCTGACAAGGGTCGTGCCTCGCCAAGAAATGTTCCAAGGTGTCCCAGCCCCCGCCTACTCTGACCATCATGTGTCTCCCCTTCAAAAGCTGCGAACAAGTCGGATATTTGTTATTATACATAATTAGAGACGCGCTTTCAATTCGTCAACGAGTTAAAAAATGCAAAAAGTTTCTTCCGGTTCGAGCAAATTGGAAATATAGTATTTCTTTTTTTTTCGTTCATTCGCAATTTTTTAAACTTTATTTATTTACTTATAAACGATACGAATATCGTACGTACCCTGATGAAGACATTTCGCCCAGCGATATGATACCGTCCTTCGCCAACCTTTCGCACCTTCAGTTTGGAGCATCTCTCGGAGGGACATTGGCAAAGTCTCTGCACAGCCTCTGTAGCTCTTCTCACCTAAAAAACGAGCGAGCATGTCATATCACGATGTAAAAGCTGGCATATCGAGGCGACATATTTTTACGTTCCAGACAGACGAAGAGTGATCGTCCGTCACCGTGAGATAAATCGGTTCGACGTGTCGCGGGGGAAAGTCGATGCAAAGACCTCTCGGAACATCCGCTCCGTTGCATGTAGGAATCCGACACGCGAGGATCCACGAGCGTGCAAACGCATACGTGAAAAAGCTTAAAGCGATCGTTCGCCTCCATTGTTTCTCTCCCTCTCTTCGTGGCCGGCATTCATGGTGAACGTGACACGATGCAACTTGCTCGTGTGCAGTAAATTGCACGCTCGTGGTCAATGTTACCTGTATTTCTTACGTAAGAAATGCAATTAATTTTTTCGAAGGATGTAGAGCACTAATTTTAACACTTGAGATAAAATGCTTGGTATTACGTGTCAATTAAACTACAGGTTTGGCGACCATTGTTCGTTGGATAATAAAGGGTTTTGCACTTGTGAGTAATTTCTGAATGAGTGATTCTTGAGCAAAGTTAATGATGAATGAAATATTTTGAAACGAACAATTTTTTATATATTATGTAAGATAAAAAGTAAAATGCAATAGGAGGATTTCAATTGAATTTATTTTGATTTTTTCCTGTTGATTTAATTCCTGGTATTTCTGAATGATCTTCAATAGTGAAAAAAAAGAAATTTTTAAACCTGTCTCGAGATTATTGAAATTGGATTATCGTGTACTCGAGTAAATTGCTGTTTTATTTATAACTTTCAATATAAGAATTAATAGAAAGTAATCGATGCATGAATAGTTGAATCAATAATGGTGGAAGTCGATAAACAGAAAATTTAATTGAAATTCGTCATTAATAATTTAAAACCCCCGTTAAAAAAATTATTCATATGCTGTTATGCTATATGCATTGATAAAGTGTTGCATTTTAATTCATAAGTAAAATTTACGATTCTAGATACGTATCGGTGCAATTACTACGAGAATGAAGGAGTTCACTTTAAAAAAAAAAAAAAGAAAAAAAATCAAGATCTCTTGATTTACAAACGAATAAAATAAACATAATAACATTATTCGTTTTCCAAACTTACAATTTTTACAATTTTCTTCTCACGAATCGCTCTCATCTCAAATGAAAAAAAATCACCGTACCTTGCGATCGAGTTCCGTTATTGGACCCGTGTGCTCTGGTGGCTCGGCCGGCGAGGGCAAAGGTGAACTAGTCGGCGATGGAAGCTCGTCCGGATCCTCCGCGCTTCCACGTGACCAGTCATCCTCGGTCGTGTCGCTCGGTTCCCCATCGCTACCTTTTGGTGGCCCATTATCGCTCATCGACCTTCTCATTTCGGGCTCGTGCGTCACACCGTTGCTCGGATCCAGCCATCCTGTCGCCGTCAACGCGACTTCTGATGCTGAACTGCAAAAATAACCCCCCGAAATTGGGTTGAAGAACAATCGAAGAGAGGATTCTTTTGTCTCGTTACCTAAATTTCAACCACTAGAGACTCTGAATGAATCGAGATGTTAATCAGAAGCACTCTCGAGAAACTCTTTTGTCACCAGATTTTCGGTTTTTCTCACACTCGTATTCGCGTCACGTCTCTTTTTAAGATTATTATTATTATTATTATTATTATTATTATTATTAGAATGTAGATCACGATTTTAAATCGAATAAAAAAAAAAAAAAAATCTTACTTTTTCTTATCTTTATATAATCTCGATTCATTTTTTTATTTGACAAACACCAGGAATCATATTATCACTAATTGTGTAATCTTCTCTCCGGAGACAAATATAAATCGAGTATCAATTGCACGGTAACAACCTTGTCAAGAGCAGAGGATATAAATGGAAATAGGAAATGGAAATGAAAACGCACGTACCTGCTGTGTTTGATCTTCTCTGAAGGAGGTCTGGGCGTTGCGGTCGGTGACGGTGATTGAAACTGCCAAGAAACCAGACTGCTGCGGGATATACCGCTATCAGACAGACAGTGAAGATCTCGCTCTTGTTCGGCGGCGATTTCCCTCTCGAGCTGCACGAGTCCTGGTGGTTCGACGGAATACCTCGACGCGAGTCGGGCCACTTCCAACAGGCACAACACAACGTTTCTCGGCTGTCCATGTAGAACTTTAAAATTAAACATGATGGGATATAATATAATACTATCTGTGACACACATATTTTTAATGTGCGTTTCACAGATAAATAAAAATGTAATAATAAATGTAATTAAATAGAAAATTTTATTCGATGGGATGGGATATTTTTAACGTGGAAAGTAATCCTTGTTAAAGATCACGTGTTATTAACTTTTCACGCTCTTTCACTTGGCGGAAATTTATACGAGAGCATTACTTGATACCATTACTTATCAGAGCTATTGCTCTCAAAGAGCATCCCTCTTAGCTTATCGTATCCCTCGAGTGTTTTTGCAACTTGATACGATAAGCGCTGAAACATATGTGAAGAAGAACTGGAGAATCGAATTTCTTTTAACTATTCCTCAAAAAAAAAAAAAGAAGACCTTAAATAAGAAATTTAAGGTAATAGATGATATGCTAAATTGATGATAAATGGTACACGTGGTAATTTGTACATTTTTGATTTTAAATTAAAATAGAAATCGTTTGCTTAAAAATCGCTAATTAAAAAAGAATTAAAATGCATTTAACTTGCAAGTTTTATCAAATTTAGATATTTATTTACGATACACTGATTTAGAATGTATCAAAAAAACGGTTCATACAGTAACCGGTTACATATTTATTTATAAGAAACGAGAGAGATTATTGGAGCATAAAAATCGTTACAATTCGCGTTCAAAGTCAGGTGAAACGTACAGGTTGAAACAAAAAATTTCTATTTTAAATTTATTATTTAGAATTAAAATCTTATTTGAAAATCAATGTATTACTGTTACACTATTTACAGAATATTATTTAATACGCTATTCACAGGATAAAATCGCAAGTCAGACTAGAAACGAGCGAGAATTTACGATCGTCTCATCTACCCTAGAGGGGAAAAAAAATGTAGATGTCTATTTACAGAACATAAGCGGTGACACCCTCGACCTTCTTCAACTCCAATTGTAATTGATCAATTCAGCCTACATTTCGTGGTACATCTCATTTATTCATTCAAGTAGATCACTTTAACCAAACGAAATGGTCTTTATATTCGTCACAATAAAATTTTAACTACATCTATTCCAGGAAAACGGGGATGAACATTCAAATAATCGAAGAGAATAAAATTTCTTTCATAATCGAAAAATAAAATAATAATAATAATAATAGTAATATTTCAAATACGAGAACTCTGTTTTTTTTAATGGAGATTCAGACAAATTCATTCTTGAGAGAAATGATAGATATTCAAACTTTTTAAATCCATTTCAATTACTCCCTCGAGCCATTTGCATTTTGCGATCCATGGATTTGTAAAATGACAAAAAAAAAAAAAAAGCTTTGTTCTACGATAAAAGTACATTTCTGATGATTTTACGTTTCTAGCTCGACGACGAGGCTCTGACACGAAAATCTAGATTCACGGTTTCATGTTCTAATGGAGAAGAATTTCAAACACGACGTGTTCCACAAAACGAAACAAAGACGAAAAAGAAAAGCTCCGCCATTATATTTGTCCAACTTGTATCGAGCTGCATTTTAGGCTCTATGTCAGATTGAATTTAACCAGTCAACGATTCATTCTATTTCAGGTATCATACCATATGAATACATTGAATTGACATAAGGAATATGTATACGAGTTAAAAAATTAGAGTAAATAGAAATCTTTTTCATTGTATTAATAATAAAATATCTGTTTTTCAATAAGAAAAAAAAAAATAGTGAATTGAATTAACACGTTTAATATTATAATCCATTTAATATCATCTTCACTTTTTTCATGATATATATCAAAAAATATAATGAAATTTTCATAATAATGTGTGATGTGACACTTACACTTCTACGATTCTCAGTCCGCCATATGTGAGAAACGTAAGTTATTAATAGAATCTGTATTAAATTAACTCTTGACACGCCATCTGTGTATTTCTTCGTACAAAACACACATTAACATACGTAATATCATTTTAAAATCCTGCTTAACATTATCAGTATTAGATATTGCGTTAACGATCGAAATAAATATAATTATCATTGAAGAAACTTTCGTGGTGATTATTTATATTATCGAAGAGAAAAGATACTAAAGATACCTATCGAATCTACTACCTAAACGAATCTAGAGATCACTAGCTTCGAAAGTTCGAATTATTATCATAAACTAAGAAGAAAGTAAATTTCGAGAAATAAAGTAAACTTATTCCGCGGCATTCCTATTGTTTCCATTCACAACACTTCAATTATCCGCATAATTAAGCACAAAAAAGTGAAGAAAGAAAAAGTTAATATCGAAAAAAATAAAAAACTTCTGTACAAATTCACTTTCTAATTTCTATAAGAACGCCTTTATTTCCTAACGTCATATTCATTAACGATCAACACTACATAAAAAACCGTCGACATAGAATAAAAAAAATTCTAACAAAGAAATCCTTCACAGATACCATCGATCCATACTCTTTTCATACTTTTTCCAAACATTCACGATCCATTTCCTTCGTTGTGAACCGATTTTTACTCAATTTTACGAAACTTCTCCGTTTCCGGTTACATCATCACCAACACTTATTGTTTTTTCGTTTCGTTTTTGGAAGTCGGTGGAGAGCGCGAAGGGCTTGTTTCGATCGTTTCCACCGCGAGACACGATTAATTCGCGCCGATTGCTCTCCTTTCGCGGCCGTTTTGAATTTGCATAAGCCACGCGCGCGGCAGTCAGCCGGCGTAATTGGCGGGATTTCGGTTTTAATCGGCTCGAATGTGACGGAGCTGCATCCGAGGGAACGGGTGTTGATATACGGGGCGAGTCGATTCGAGGGAATTAAGATTGATTAGGGGAATCTTCCTTACCGAGATCGTCGCTCTCGAATAGAAGATTCTCGTGCACGCCCAGACGCCTGCAGAATTGTATAAAGTTCTCCATGTTGTCGCGGGAGAAGAAACTGCGACGGGCTGCGTTCTCCCAGCAACGGCCTTTTATCACCGGTAGGGGCTGAAAAATTAATCTAGGATGTGATAAGAATGATAATGGAATGGACAATCTAATCTGATATTTTTGTTATTAACGCATAACAGCTGTGTGTCATAAACCATTGAATACTCTATTAACATATAAATTTTTTATAATTGAAATGTTTCAAGTTATAATATCTCTTGAGAGTGAAATTGGAAACATTCTGCACGCATTTCAATATTCCATCGATAAAAACGATAATGTATGGAGCGTATCTATGTTTCTAAATACGATGCTAATAATCAAAGTAATTGTTTTTCTATAAAATAAAAATATAGAAAGAGAAACAATCGTCATAAAAATATTCGATAAATTTTTTCCAATTTTCAATTGGAATTGGAATTAATTACGATGATTAAATTTAAAAGAAAATGCATGGAGAATAAGTGAAAAAAGAGATCAAATAAAATCGCATTACATTTCGATCAATACCGATTCACATTCGCATCCAATTTTCGTGCCACTTAACAAAAGAATTACTCACCCCTTTCGCTCTTCCAGCGTCGATCGCCGTCCTCGCCTTTTCCTGTATAACCCTCGCCAATCGACACACCACCACGCCATTGTCCAAAGCGTCGAAGAAGTTGTCTCCCGATACAATTTCAGAGTCTGAAAAACGTGGAAGAAAGAAGAAAAAAAAAAAAAAAAAAACGATCGTAAGTCTTTCACCGCCTATCCACACGAATGCAAATTTTTGTTGTTCTTCTCGTGGCTCTCGAAACACGTTCCCGTGAAACGACATATTAATCTTCGCGTCTGCTCAACGTATTGCGTAAACGGTCACTCGAAAGCAGTCAAGAGCATCGACGAAGTGGCGTCATTGTTGGAAACAATGGGGCGATCCCCCTTTTAGTTCTCCGAAGTCGAATTCTTTTCGACGAAACGAGGGTGAATTCTCGCTTTGTCGCGGAATTTATCGCGTACAGGTTCTCAAGGAAAGAATTTTAAGAGGAATGGAACTCGTGAAAACTTATTACCAATTTTTTAATTTATCCAATAATTGATAAAACTCTATTTACTTTTTTACAAAATTGTATAAATACCACTGTAACTCTAGCATAAATTATGCAAATCGTCCAAAACCGAATTAAATCGAAATGCTACTCCGTGACCATTCCGCCATCTTTCTTTGTTGTATCGCCAATCCGTTATCCATCGGCTTCTTCCAATTATAAATTCGAAAAGGAATCGAGAGCTCGTCACCGAACACAGTGCTGAAAATCCAATTTAACGTCACTACCGCGTGGAAGGGAAAGCGAATTAATCCTCGAAAGGCGTGTTGACGCGCTATCGCGGCTCATCAAAGGCGACAGAGGTCTTCGAGATGACACGACCATCAGGGGACGTGAGAAACCTTTCGATCGACCGCTTCAGATTTATCTACGGTAATCGTTCGAGTTCGATTCGCCTTCGTATTCCTCCTTCGATCTTTTCCACCTAGCACACCTTCTACCACACATCGCTATATATTGGCCCACGAAAAATTGAACATGCCGTAAGTGACTTCGCGGTGGTATGCTCGGTCAACCGAGAAACGATCTAGCCGAGACACTCTCACGATAGGCCAACTCGTGCGTGACTGAACGAAATCATTTCAATTTCGTTCGTTCGCCGGGTTGTAAACAGGATCAAGGACGAGATTTTTCGAATCGGTGGTAGCTGTCTGAGCGATCTGATGAATGTATACAGGGTGAACCTTCTAATTTGGCCACTTCGTATGATTCATATAAACATTTCAGAGATAAATTTATTAAGTATAGGAAAAAATAACTAATAAGCATAAGCATCTCTGATCAAAATTAATATATATTGATATTTACTTATAAAAGGTTGGAGCATGCGATTGCACTAATTTTCTATAAGCCTCAAACCTTAAGAATATTCGAGGAGTTGGGTTAAAAAGATTAATTAGCTCGAATTTTATTTTTCTTTCCCTTACCCCGATAAATTCAAAATTCTACTCGTATCATACATATTTGTACCTATTCACACATCACCTAATCACTCGCAGTAAATAAGAAAATATTTACAAAGCAAAAGTGAAAATACGGCAAAATAAGAAGCATAAGAAACAAGAGGACTCACCCTGTATAAATACAGGGCGCGCACTTTGTGCAGAGAGAATGCAATACGTAAGCGCACCCACGTTTCTCCCACGCTGTTGTTATAGATCGAGAGACGGGCAGGGAATCTAAGGAAAAGCCGATTGGGCCGCGACACGATCCGTGCCACGTTATATAGATATAGGCGGGATACGATGGGAAATAGGAACTAGGTTGGGCTGACGGAGCGATAAAGCCTCGTAGATACGGATGGTAATGAGAACCAGCGTCGTTGCTCGTGACTCGACCCGGTAACAATAGGGTTGCACCCGGGGCAGAACGGGAAAAAAACTGTTAACGGGCAGGCTTGCGGAGTAAAGTCCATCACACGTTGCTCCTTGTACAAGAGACACACGTGCGCTTTCCGTGTGTCTCTTTCCTCCCCTCCTCCGTGTTTACCGCGCGTATACACACACGTACGTGCAATACGGCTCGCGTATATACACAACACGTACGGTTATGTGGGATCTGGCTCGCGAATATCGTTCGAATATGGCCGCCGGCGAGACACAATGCGAGCGAAGCGAGCTCGTGATAACGACGATTTCGCTCTCGCGGGACGTTTAACCCTCTCGCTCGATCTTGCGAAAGATCACGAGGCGTATTTGCGACGACCAATAGGCGGCTCGATCACCCGGAACCGCGGTGGCGCGGATCTAATTTATGTTCGACGTTATACGAGGGGGAGGAGGAGAGGCAATAACGCGGCGGCGCCGTTTAAGGAAAAGGTGCGCGGAGGGTATCCGATAATTAGGCTGTAGAAATTCCGTGTGAATTTCGATGCAGGGTGAATGGTTTCACCAATTATAAAGCTTTTGTGTTCTTTTTTTTTTTTTTTTCAAATGTAATTACATTCGGATGACGGATGATGGAAAAAATGAATATAAATTGATAGTATATAGGTGTAGCTTTTATTAATTTTGATTTGCTGGTGTTAATGAATAAATAAGAAGTGTGATTGAGTGCAAATATCCTCCTTTCGTTTACGAAACGCAAGACAAAAATCCGTATGCTTTAAATCCGTTGCTGCAAGTATCTCATAAAAGTTATAGATATCATAAACTTGGGCGCACCTTTTTACACAATGACCCATATTTGATATATCATAATATAGCGGTGTGGTTGATGCAATCGACTTGGAAATTATTATGCACCAATAACAATGTTGTGTACTTTCAATATATGTATCGAATCTGGAATGAAAATTGAGCAAGTATGGACAACTTATATGGAGGGATAATTTTATGACCTTGTTATAAAAAGTAAATGCTTCCGACAAATTCATCCATCTCTCTTCCCTCGGACGGTCTTTAATAACACGATGATTATGCATAACGATAACAAGCTCACAGCTTGGCCTCCATTTTCTTCGTATCCTTGATACGCTACCCTTCGATTTTAACATTCGACCTCTTTATTCCGATCCTTTTTCAGAATGTTCCGCAGATGTCGTCCTTGGCATTGTTCGATCGATGCATTAATTCCAACACGATACATTACTGCAATAACCAGTTACCATAAAACACGCTGCGACAACTTTTATTTCATCATTATCGGACCCCACACAGTCTGTCTCCGAACAGAGAAGAAAATGAAAAGAACGCAAGAACACAAATATGCTGTCATTTCTTGCACGGCAGATATGCTAGAATTTGTCATTTCTCCAAGTGAAATAAAAGCATTGAATGGATATTACTTGTACAGATAGGTTGTTATCGTTTGGAAGAGTTTCATTATGGTTCTTGCGGTGTGAGAGCGGTTTTATTCTTCGTATTTTTCATGGGGTTATTAGTTATTAGGCTGCATTCATCGCATTGATCAGGATTGCTCGTGAAGCAAGGAAAACACAGGTCTTTTATACTGTTGCTTGATCGAAAATGCTAGTAGACACCTGCGTGAACGTAACATTATTGTGAAATATTCGTAGGGATATGAATATGAAATGTAAGATGGAACGAATATAACAGGTTTAAGATTGATGAGATTTAAAGTAATTTCTCGAGAGAGGTTTGTACGTTTTTTTTTCTTTTTCTTTTTGAGAAATGACGTTTTCCAATCGTCCTTAAATTGATATTTAATAGCTAATCATCATTCTCTCAAAGAGATCTGTTGTAAACACATGATCCTTACAAGTGTAATTTTGCCACTATTGTAAAACAAAATTATACATCCCACATATGGAAATTCGTCAAATTATGACAATCATAACAATTGACTAATTATTTGACGCATACAATATACAGCAATTTTTATTCGTATTCAAGTAAGAAACTTCTATTTTCAACATTTCATTATAAATGGATAATCAAAGGAACGAATTGCAAAAATTTAAAAAAATTTTCTAATAAATAAAACATGATAAAAAATATATATTCGAATCGTTTCGTGCTCAATTTCGTAGATGAACTCAGAGATCTGACTCGTGCGATTCACGGTTCGGTAGAGATCCATGGCCCGTGCCGAACGAGCGACCCATTCGCAAACATTCCCTCGTTCTTTCATCCATGATCCCACCGAGCCCTCCCATAAGCGCGTGCATATTCGTCTATGCGTACACTGTACGCCCATTATGCGTAATGCGGCTTCAGGTAGCCGCGATGCAGGGAGAAGAAGTGGCACGAAGGAAGAGGGGTGCCCGGCCAACTTCCGGTTGAGTCAGACACCCGGGCTGCAGCCGGCCCAGACACCCAGGGTGTGGGTCGAAAGGTCCTATCTTTTCGCATTATTTTAATAATCGTGGCTAGGAAATAATTCGGATTAATTTTTCTTTCTTCAAGTGCCGGATGCTAGATTAAAATCGTTGTAGACGTGATATAACGTTGAGATAACGTTTAGAATCGCAATCCTGTTTCGTATGATAAATAAGATTGGAATAATGCCCCTTCCTTCCAATTTTAAATAATGGAATATCTTAATTATTACAATGAATTTTTTTCATAAGAGTTAATTCAGAAGAATTATGCTCAAAAAAGGGAAACACTTCGAGATCCTATTCGAGGGTCGCGATCCATAAGTAGGGGAATCCAAAGCGTAGGTTGGTTTTTGCGAGGACTTAATGGAATGAAGATGATGATGATGATGATGATGATGATTCACGAAAGGCTGACACGTGTTAAACAGTGGATGATTGAAATCGTGTGGGACAGAGACGATGATTGTTTCGTGGATAAGATTATTCAGAATTGTTGGATTTAACACGGATAGTTGTTCGAGTTGTGCATAGTTTAAGTAGCTTTGTAGAGCCTATATATCTTTGTATAATTGGAAAACGTTGCCTCTTCAACATTGTGCGAAACGATGTCGTTAATCTTTCGCATCGTTAACCTTGATTGACCAAATCGAGAATCGTTTCTATGATTCTTAGATGTTCGCATTAGTTAGGACAAATCACTTTCGAATTGCATCGCGTGTACATCTGTTCAAACTATAAATAGGATCAAACTATAAATCGATTTTTTTATAGTGATGAATTATTTTGTTTTATGCTTTTGCAAAATTGAAAATGTT